TCCAAAATAAACAAAACTCACTGAATTTTTTGAAGTCTATAAATGCAGTTGTATTCATCATTAATTCATTCAGTATTGTTGAGCTGATGGGAAAGTATTTTTTTTACAAATATTTACCAAGACCGTGTAGAGTACCATTTGCCACTTTTCTATTCCTCTCTCTCTGTTCAGTTTAAAAGAACTTTAATATTATAAACAATTGTATTTTAAGTGAAATGCAGACATTAGTATAATGAAATGATCATAAATGATAGAAATGATTAAATGATGATAGTGTGAAACAATTATACAGGATCTTGTAGATCAGTTTTAAGGAATTCAAGTGCTCAACACATTTGGGAAGGGAGGAAATACCACTTTTGTAATTGTAAACCAAATGATGTTTTAAGTAATGATGGACCTACTCCAGGTTCATGCCAAGTTAGTTGTGTTTGTGGAAAGACAAAGATACCTTTGTGTTCATGTTAATGTTCAAAGAACAAACCAGGTATCCTCCATTAATACAGTGACTATATTTAAGAGAGGAAATGTTCTTGAGGATAAGGGAGCTGGTGCCAGATGCATCTTCAACAGCCACAGTCAGGCCTCCTTGTTGGCAGAAATAAAGCCTTCTTAGAGACTAGAAGAACTTGTGTAAGGTTTCCTACAGTCCAAGAAGCTGCAGAGTTGATTAGCCTCATACTGAGCGTGTGGGAAAGTACTAGGAAGATCAGAGAGGACATGAGTGACTTTTTAATAAACCTTAATTTTACTTTTGTCTAAGTCACTTTGAGTTTTTTGTTCGTTTGTTTTAAAAGGCGAACTATTCTAATAAGCCCCAGCTTTTGCATTTAAAGCTTGTTTGTTCATCAGTAGGGAACTCACTGTAAGAAAAATGCTTACACAAATCCACAGTGGAGCTTTGGCCAGCTTGGAGTCTCATCTCACTTTGTTTGATAGATAGTGTGGAGGAAGTTTGTCTGATCTTTATTTTGGATGGGAGATTAATGAACTTAGAATATGGAAGTCTTGATTGTTTCTAGCTGTTGTGTCTAAAACTCTTCTGTAGAGTTTCTGAACTTTAGAATTAAAATACTAATATATTTATTTAAAATATTCTGTGTACAGTAATTTTAAATCAGAGTTTGGTTCATTGTGGAACAGAGTGAGAAATGGGACTTTCTCCCCTTGTGGTGTCAGCCTGAGATAAGCCATAATGTTAAGCTGTGTTGCTTAGAAAGAAAAAAGGAGAAAAGCAGATTACAGTTCCAGAGGTGAGTAGAAAGGAGAGTCATAAGAAGCTGAAATAATAAAAAGTATGTTTTGTACTTCTGCAATTTGGTTTGTCAGAGAAGCCATCTGAAGGTTCAGGGTGTATGGGCAGAGTCAAGTATTAACTGGAAATCTTGTGAGAATTGTTTTATTGTTGGGGACAGAATAAAAGGTTGAGATAGAGTAGTCACTTAAGGTGTTTAGATCATACATTCATTAATTTTAAAGATTAAGTTAGTGGTGTCAAGACTGGATGACTGATTTGTGAGGGAAAATGTGTATGATGATATGATACTTATGATTGTGGGAGTTTCAAAAGAGGCTTATGGGAAAGAGGTTTCCTTCCTCAGCTTAGTGTCTGGCATAAGGGAAACTGTGCAAGGAAATTTGGTGAAAATTAAATAAGTTCTCCGGGAAACAGTAACACTTTTATTAATTTTTGAATAGTAATATTTCAGATTGCATGATATTTTCAAGTTGCTGATATTTCTAGGCCCTAGGATACTTTCCTATGAGAGATGGGACAAATGATAGTACCATGAGTTTGTCATCTTTGAGGCAAAGCTGGTGTTTTATGTATTCTTACACAGAGTCCTATGAACTTATGCTTCAAACTCTTTTTCTGTCCAAGTACCTGTTTTCAAACAGTTTTCAATTACAAAGTTCTTAAAGAAAATTCTACCTCCCTTTAATCCAGACCTCAGCAGACGGATGCATATTTAAGGGAAGAGGGTTACTAATTCCAGGGATAAGTGAACTACATCTAAAGTGGTGAAGAGGAGCAGAAATTGACTTGTTAGGAAAAACTGTCTATCTGCCTTTGAAGAAGAGAGCTAAACATCATGGAGAGCTGTAAGGTGGGATGCCTTCCAATTTATCCCATCTGATAGAGACACCTTGTGCAAAAAACATTAACTCATCCTGTGTGCATTGTAGTGGTATCACAGAGAAAGATTCTGCCCACTTTTTATCTGATGGGATTTTACAAATATGTGTTTTTCCCTCTCAACTTTAATGGTATGAATTTTTATCTTTTCTGCAAAGGCAGAAATTTCCAAAATGAGCAGTCACCTGAGTAAAAAAATATGTCAGATGGAATAATCTGAGTGGAAATAATTTTGGAAGGGCATGGCTTTTATGCTTTTTAGAGCTGCTAAATGCTTTTTCATATTAAAAAGCTGGCTCAAGCTCAATTTGAAATTTTGTTCAAATTGCATTTATATTACAAAGAAAATGTGTGATTCTGATCAGCCTAATTACTCCAATCCTGGCAAACTCAAATCCTTCATGTTTTCCTCAGACCCTTTCATAGAACAAGCGGAAGCTTCGTGATTTATATCACATTTTTTTCTCTGCAGTTCTCTATAGTTTGATTGTATGATCTTTCTTTAGCCATATATTATGTAATAGAGTAAACACCACATCATATAGTGTTCTAGAATAATTGTGGGATGCTGTTTTGGTACTAAAATTCCTTAGGCGATGTGGAGATAAACTTTTTCCCATCAGAATGCTTTGCCTTGGTTAAGGTTGGAAATAATATGTTTCTCGGCTGCTTGCTTCTGGAAGTCAAGCATTGTGCTCTTGTTTTAGGGTAACTTCTCCTTGGTTGCATCTAGAAGCATCTTTTTAGCATATTGCAGAATTACTGTATCCTTTCTTATGACTGACTTGTTTGATATGTGCAAACTAAAAAATGAGAGCTGTGGTAAACCAGAAGTTCTCTGGAACACAGGTTTTGAGGTAACAGAATAATTATCATCTGGATGTGAAGTTCTTGCATTCCTTGGCTTCCTCAAAAGCTTTGTGTTGTTCTTCTGAGTATCCTTACAGTTTTTGTCACTTCAAATGCATGTGTTTGTCCATGTCATGAAGTTGTGTGATTCTGTATGCTTTATTTGTTGAGTTCAATTTTCATGACCTAGAGACTTTTTGTTGTTACTGGAAAATTAAAGGAAATTCAGTAGCATGTATTCTATGTTAGGTGTATATATATTGGTGGGAATCTGCATTTGAAATATTACTGAACTGAGCTTTGTCCCACTTGCTTTGTTTTACAATATTATTGTGACTGACTTTATAGTGACTAATTTCAAATTCCTTTCCAGTGTAAGTTTTGCCTCCTCAGAACTTTGCTATGCCAATATTGTCTGAAAATTGAATGCTCACTTAGTTAACATTCTACATCCAGTTGCAGCTATTCTCCTCTTTGTAGCACTGTAGTACTACATAGTGATTGTTTTCGTGTCTTCAAATGTGGCAGTGAAGGATATGGCTCAGTGATGGGACTTTGTATGTCAGGGTGCTGATTGGACTTCATAATCTTGAAGGTCTTTTCCAACCTAGATCATTCTATGAATCTATGAAATGCACTGTCACCAGAATCCACAAAAACTGGAGAAAGATTTAAAACTGGAAGACATGAGTAGGTGTTCGCATCACTGGGACTCTACCCTTAGCTACAGCTTCCATGTTCTCATGTCTTACTAATATCCTTTGTAAGGTATCCTGTTGTAATTCTGCAGGTTTTGAATGACTGGATATAAGTTATCCCAGTATCCCTTTTAAAGTAGTGTCTGTTCAGTAGTTACTGTATAGTTGGATATGGAGATTGTTTTTGTGTTGCAGATTTTCTGAGAATCTTGTAATTCTGATTAAAAAGCTGTTCCTTTTTTTTTTTTTTTTTTTAAGACAATTGTGGATGGTTTCCTCAAAAGGCAGTAGTGTTAAATCATTAGAAGTACAGTCGTAAGCATTCCAAAGGCAAAATCTAAAAGTTCTTTTGCATCTGCAAGTATGTCTGGCTTCCCAAATTGAGTAATCTTCTGAAGAACAGTTGAAACTTAAGTGGCTTAGCCCCTGGTTAGTTGTTTGTATTCCTGCACTTTTGTGCTTCATTTGTTTAAAATGACCTTAATTAAACATGAAGCACACTACTAGCTCAGAGAATTGTGCTTTCTGGCTTGCTTCACTTGCTGTTGCATTGTTTTGCCAAAAGATGATTTGCACTCAAAAGGCCTAATCCTGACATCACTGACATAATGCAAACTAACAGCAAATTCTGTTTCTTAATTCAGTGATGTGGGATTGGATTCTGTTTCCATCTGTACCTTGCAGATTTAGCAGTTATGCAGAAAGATTAATCATATTTCCTGGAAGCTAATAAGTTGGCCTGTACTGATTTAGGAATGCAGCAAAATGGTTGTGAACTTTGCCTACTCAAAGACAGAAAATTTTGTTTGAATTATTAGCTTAGAGTTTTTGTTCTGTTTGTTGATTTTTCTTTATGCTTAAAAAAAAAAAAAAAAAGGTTCTCTTTTGAAGTGTAGAACTGGAGTTTTCCCATTACAAATAGGTTTAGGATTTTTTTCTTCTGATGCCATCATTTTAAGGATCAGAGTTCCAGAATACTTGCAGCAGCCTTGTATTTTTCTGTCTGTTCGTGACAAACCAGCTACTGTACATTCATATAGAGCAGTACAGTCCTTGCCACTGGCAGTCTCTCTGTGACAGAGAGCCTGTAGGCTGACATAAAGTGCAGCCTGTTGTGAACTGCTAAGTGGGAGTCTGCCAAAAACTCAGCAGACAGAACTAATTGGGGAGAAAAAGGATTTTTGTGCCCTCATCTCTCCCTCTTCAATTTTTTTTACAAGACGGATATTGTTAAAGTAACTTGTTTATGTAAGATTTGTCTGCCTCTATTTTCTCATTGCATGAATCATTTTTTAACTTCAAGTCTTGCACTGCAGGTCACTGAGCACTTCCACATGGCGGCTGGCACAGGACCAAACTCGAGACACGCAACTCATCACAGTTGATGAAAAATTGGTAAGGGTTTTCTGCTGCATACTGCTATGATACAGCCTTCGGGGTTATTTCTACACAATAGGCGTTCAGTATGGTATTATGCGCTCTTCTAGGAAAGCCATACAAGTATGAACTACAAAGCAAAAATCCTTATACGTTTTTTAAAAGGCAGCATTGGTAAAACAAGTAAGTGAAGGAAATATGGCATTCCAAGTATTAAGCAATATAAAGAGATGAGTACCTTGTTTATTATTACATTGTGGTCAAGGATCAGTATGAGCTGTAATTTATAACAAGTTTTCTGTTTTTGAAATCTGAGTATTTTTCTGTGTAGTGGAATCATACAGAATTTGCCAGCTTCCTAAAATTATCTTCATTAGGACCCATATTACTAAATAGTGTGCAAGAGACATGCAAGGTTATTGTTACTATGTACATATACTCTAGCTTTTGAATATGCATGAAGGTTGGATTACAACTAGGAACAAACGCATAACATTCTTCTGCTAATCAGTAGCAGATCAGAAATTTGGCAATCTTTTCTTGTAAGTTCTTCCATAATGTGTGGTCTGTTACTCTAGATGCAACCTGACACTTATGTTTACATTATTCAATAGTATAATTTTTGTAAGACTTCTGGAGGGAATGCGTCACAGCAGAAGCATGCTTTTCATTGGTTTTCATATCACTTTTGAATCTTCAGGGAAAAAAAATTCCCATCATATTTACCAGACAGTTCATATTGTATCTGCTTGGTTGTAATTCTGAAGCTATGTTAACTACTTACAAACAAGAAGAAATATTTGGGATTTGTATTTTTAAATGGAACTTTTGTAGAGATAATTACACATTGTTAGCAGATTATTAGAAAAAAATGCACCTAGTTTGACAACTATGCAGGACTTTTATTTCTCATAGTTTGTAATTTACATTTAGCAATAATAAATTTCTATCTATTTGTAAATATATTTTTTTTGTAATTTTTTTTTCTGTATTTAAAAATTTCTAACATCATTCTAGGTTCAAAAATAAGGAAAAAATACTTTATTTTAGCTAGGATGGTTATCTTGCTAATCTTATTGCATAACTTGGCTTTCAGGAAGTTTCATTTAATGTGCAGGAGTTCATGAGTCACTATGTAAATAAGATGCACCATGTCAATAGACCTACATTTCCCTAAACATATTATAAATTAAATTTGATTATTGTAACACTGTTCTTTAATGTATAAAAAAATCTAAGTAGAATATTTATAATACCTGAATTTACACCATCGGATTTCCCTGTTGTGACCTCCAGTGATGAATACGTAAATCTGAAAGAGACTGCAGTGCAAAGGCAGACCCACAAAATAGATACTCTTTATCTTCCATTTTATATTACATGTACATTATCATAAGGTAGGGTTTTACATTACCTTGTCTGTCTAGCAATGAAAGTTTATCCTCACAGTTGAGTTAAAGTGATAGTACTTTGAAATTCAACTGTCCTGTTCTCTCAGTATTAGAGTAAGTGAATTGTAAATGGCACGGTTGTTTCTAACATCTGTGTTCTTATCGAGTTGGAGGCACTCATAGTCATTGGGATGTTTTTGAGATCTGGTGTTAGTAGCCATTGGATCATTTTCAAGTCCACTGTTTGCTTGTCAGTTGTAGAAACATGTAAACTAAATGGTTGTTTAATCCCCAGTTATTTTGAATATTAGATTAAATGTCAGATTGGAGGGTATTTTCCTGTGATAATTTGCACAGAAGTGCACATTCTGGGTGCACAAGTATTTTCCCCCAGATTCTTGGGCCTGAAACAAAATGGTATCAAATTAGAGTAAACTTTCTATAGTTTCATTTGAATATTTAGATAAGTTTTTGAATAATTATTCATAGTACCATAAAATGTCCAATAATTGATATTAATAAGCAAAACTACATATCCCATTAGAAAAGAGGGCCTTCACAAAGAGGTTTTATGTGGTTTTCACCTTTTTTGGGATTTTCAGAATTTATCTAGATATGTGTTAAACCTTGTGTATAAATAGAATGCTATATTAATAAGTTTTAGATTTTTTCAGCATATTTCCCAATTTTAATAAACATTACATTACAAGTAATTTAATAGGTAATTTTTTAAATGACATTGTGAGGTATAATAAAACTACTATTACTCTGCAAGTTGTAATTAAACAGTATTTAAAATAACATTTAATTTTAAAAAGCCTTCCTTTTTCTTACTGCCAGATACAGGCATCTGTAGTTGGAAGTCATTAAATTATATTTCGAGGAATTTGTTAGCCCTTTCATATAGATATAGTATGCATATTTTAAGTCTGACATCACTTCAAAGGTAGTTTTTGTACATATCAGAAAGAAGATGCAGGAATGGGCAGAAAATATGATATGGTTATCCATTCCTTCTGAAACTCATACTTGGAAACTGATCTCCTCTGTGAGTTGATGATTACAAGGCTAATATAAAATAACACTGTGGCTATTATAAACTTCTAATTGGTTATTGTAATTGAGTCTATGTACTTTCATGGACTTCATATTCCTACATGAACATATACTTAACTAGAACCTGATTGACAGGGATTCCTTTGAATAAGCTAGAATCTGCTTGAATCCAAAAGGAACAAAATATTCCTTCTCTTGGAAATCACAAATGAAATAGAAGGGGGAAAAGTATCATAGCATAAGCGGTAGCCAGTTGCCTTCTTCCTGCAGTCCAGCCTGTGTTGAATAAGATAGAAAAGTTAGTTCTATTGAAATAGTGAAAAATGAATTTGAAATAAGTACAGGGCAGTTGATACTAGAAAAAAATGGGATTTCTCAATGCTATATGCTCAGTTTAAATAGAACACATTCAAAAATGAGTATCTTTGCCTGAATTAGTAGTTGTTTTTTGTGAGTGTTGAATAAAATAATTTTAGTGAGCAGCTAAATCCAAATAGTGTAATACAAATTGAACAAAGCTAAACAAAAATACAGTTCTTGTGTCATATTTTGAATCTCTGTCCACCAATTAGGTCATATTCCAAGAGTCTCGACAAATAGCTGGGTGAAAAGTAGTCTCTCAAGACCCTGCTTGCATTAGGAAATATGGGCTATAGAGGACAAAGGCTGTTGGCAGCAAATTTTCTGCAGGTAGTGTTCTGAAAAATTTAACTGTTTGTATTAAGAAACTTGATTTCTAAGGCTTTTGGTCGTGAAAATGAATTTCAAGATTGAAAAAAAAAAAAAAAAAAAACATTAATTTTTTGTATATTTGTGACTCTATTTTCAGTCAACATAAATACATTACCTGTGAATTTCCAAATAGAATGTATAGAGTTACAATAAAAAATTTGATCATGTCCCTTTTCCAGACTTTTATAAGACCTCCCTTACCAGAAAGAAGTACCTCTCACTTCATTGCTTTTTGACAGTACATACATTTGTGAACAACTGCTGTCAAGAATGAAGTACAGAAAAGAGTAAAATTTCATCACGTCTCTACTGAACATCTTGAGAACTCACAAACTATTGCAACCACTACCATCAAACCAGTCTGATGGATTAGTTTCAATGATTTGACAACAAGGTCAAATACCTAGTTTTATGGTTTTGTTGCTATCTTTCTTATGCATGGAAAAAAAAAACCATCAAAAATTAAAATAAATTTTCTAACTTTCATGTACGTTAACTATATTATATATTTTGTGAGGACTGTTCTGAAAACAATGCGTCCTGTTTTATGATGTTGGCCCCAACATCAGAAGCAGATGTTGGTGGTACAGCAATAGAAACTGAACCTCCTCACCATTTTTCCAGTACGTTTTACCGCTGTGCAATGGATGGCAGCAGAAGAGCGGTCTGACATAACAATGTCTGACATGGAAGTGCATGTGAAGCTAAGTTGTGCCACTGAACATCGTGTGGAAAAGAATGGCATCGACTGACAGTGATCGATACTTGCTGAATGTTGATGGAGACCAAGTAGTGGATGTGAGCAAAGTAAGGTGGTGGGTGGTGCATTTTGGCAGTGGTGACAGTAGATCACCTCCGCTGGTGCAGATTTTTTGAGTGTGGCATGCAGGCTCTTGTTCTTTGCTAATGAAAATGCATAGCTAATGATGGTGATAGTGCTGAAAAATAGTGTTTTGCAGCTAAGGATTTGCTCTATCCAGTAGTGTTTTTGTGCTCTTTGTATCTTTTGTTTCCATGGAAATAAATAGGAGGCATTAGTTTTGGAATGACCCACATGTATGTGGCCCAAGACAATTCCTCTTCACTCAGTGTTGCCCAGGCAACCCAGAAATTGGACACCCACAGCCTTGACACTTCTGTGTTTTTTTTTATTACCCCCAAATATTTATCACTAAAATGGATTTTCTGTAGTGGTTAAATGATACTAATACTAGAACAGTATTTCAAAATTACAACAGCAGAAGGTAACCTTTGCATCTCAATAGCAGCTTATTTCACCAGTAGCATACATGCTGTGGCTCAAAAATGAAAGCAAAGTGCAATTGAAGAGTTTGGTTACTTGAGAGATTCTAGGAATATTGCGGAACAGTTGTTATGGATCAGCTGTTAGTTCTAGCCACGTTACAGATGTTTATATTTTATATAAAGCCAAGATGAGATAGAATGGATTTGCTGCACAGAGTTAAGCATTCAAAAAGAGTGCTATCAAGTGCAGTTGAAATGAAGGTACAAAAGTGTTTATGCAGCATGGCTGGAGTATACAGGGACAGGTTGTGTTACAGGCATGACAGACTAACTGCAGTAATACAACTGATCCTTCAGCTGCTGTCCTAAAATTGTTGGGTTTTTTTCCTATACTGTGAATTTTTTCATGGTGGTTCAGATATTTTGTTATTGAAAATCGGTGGAGAGCTGATTTCCTTCTTGTTGTAGACAGACTTCTACATAACTGCTGTTGAAGATACCTTTGTCATGGTTTTGTTTTTTTTTTATTTGATTTTCAGTATTCCACATCAAAACATCATGTACTGGAATTAAAGTGTTAATGCTCTAATTCTA